ACTTCATGACTTTTTGAGGGTATTTATTTGTTTAGGTACTGGGGATCAAACTCAGAACCACATGCTTGCCAGGGAATTTTTTAGAATTTAATTGGTACATGCAGTTTAGAGGATGCATTTATGTTTTTAAATTTTAAATTACTTTTTTATTTTGAAGAGAAAAAAAGAAAAACGATATAGAATTTCAAGCCAAGATAATAGGAGATTAACAGTGGTTAATACACTGCGTCTTGTTATCTTCAAAGTATGCTCAGATTACAAGATACAGGCAGCTCTCTCAGGTTTTCACAGAGAGCAAACTGGTCAAGCAATGGCCGTGACTCATCCACATGGCTGACACTGACAAAAGATCTACAAACTGCTGTACAGGGCTTCAGGGCAAATCCTGAGGGGACTTGACTGAACTTGTCAGATATAAAAGTTACATTTCTTATTATATTTGTCTTGCTTTATCTTGGTCTTAACCATCCAGCAGAAAAGTATAAAAAAGAAGTATAAAAAGTAAAGCCTCTCAATAAAATTAATTGAAAAAAAGTAAAGCCATATTAATATGCTGAGCTGTAAAAGGCTGAAGTCAACAACTTCTGGCATTGCCAGTCTTACAGATAACCCACTACTATTATGGGCTACTGGACTATATTGGAATATTTTGTTGACTTCATGTACCTACAATATGTAAATGGCAATGGAATACCCAACTCTGTCAAAACTAAACAAAAAAAGGGGATACAAATGAAGGACCATTTTGTATCTGTATATACAAAATAGTTAAGATAAATATACAGCTACTTTCTATTAGTTCAATGAGAAGAAAGATTTGTACAAATAGTCTTTGTGGACAGGATATCAGGTATGAATCTTGTACTATGAATAACCACTACAAAGACAACAATATGCCATGTATTAGTTAGTAAAAGTGTCCTATTAATCAGTTTTGAAACTGTCTTATTGATATTGGCTTCTCAATAAAATTATTTTTTTAAAAAACACAAGATACAGGCTAGCCCGGGAGATAGCTCAGTAGAATAAGTGCCTGCCTGGCAAGCACAGGGTTCTGAGTTCAATCTCTGGTACCACACACACACACACACACACACACGCACAGATACAGGCATGCAAAATTGATCACATGAACCACGAACCACTTCATGATGTTCTGGCCACAGTTATGTTCCTTGGATTCTTCATGGTGGACTTGAAATAGCAGTGTAAGGATTTTATTCTCTATGCTTTTAAAATAGAAGTAGAAAAAATACTGATCTTAAAAATTGTAAGGTTTTTTAAAAGTTTTTTAAAAGTTCTTTAAATGAAATATATGTCCTCTGGGCAGAAGTTCACTAGGACAGAATCACTGGATGTCAAGACAAATGTATGGGCCCCGGGGTCTTTAAACAAGCAAAACTAGTTAGGATATGGGGTGTGTGTGTGTGTGTGTGTGTGTGTGTGTGTGTGTGTGTAGAAAGGAGACAGGCAGAGAAACAGATTATAGAGAAGTGGGATTGTATAGCTGTGGAAATGGCATGCTCCAGGCTCTGAAGGGTGGATTAGCAAGCTCAGGGGCTGATAGTTCAGTTTCAGTCATAGTCAAAGGCTGACTAAATCAGGAGAGGTGATGGCATTGTTTCAGTTTGCAGGCTGGCAGCCTGAAGACCAAGAAGTGCTAATGTTTCAGTTCAGATCCAAAGACAGGGGAAGAGGCCTGTGTTCTACTTAGAAAGTCAAGAGGCAGAAAGCATGCTTTCCTCTAAG